GTTCTTCCTCTTTGGTTTTCTGATTCCAGATCTTTGCACATTTTGTTGTAATATTTGGCTTTATCTTCTCGAGCTGATCTTTGAAATTTTCTGTTTAGCTCTTGGACCTCCTCATTTCTTCCATTTGCTTTAGCATCTCTATACTGGAAAGCAAGTTTCAGTGTCTCTTCTGACATCCTTTTCCTTCTTTCTTGTCTTCTCAATGATTTTTTGCCTTCTTCATGTATGATGTTCTTGATGTCATCCCACAACTCTTCTGGTCTTTAGTCTTTAGTGTTTAAAGTATCAAATGTGTTCTTCAGAGGATCTCTATGCCACCACAGCAAGACAAACTTTATGAGTATTGGATACTGGTAAAGTACTCATTGGCATAGCATTGTCTGTTTATCCATTGATCAATTCATGTCTATCAGTTGAGGCGCATGGTGTTACTGCTCACTCTGAGAGATTGAATCACTCCCCAGTGCCAGCAATTAGTCCAAGTAGGAGGTTAAGTTCTTAGCCAGTTTTCTTTCTTTGTTTCTTTTTTTAACAACAGCAATATAAATATATTTGTAATCTATGGTCATAAACAGAGAAATCAAACAGATTTTTGACAGGAGCTCAAAATCATATACCTGATTGTGTATATGACTACTCAACCTTCAGTGACATCATGTTGCAGTTTTAAGTAAGGTGTGACAGTAGTAATTATATAATTGCAAAACTACACATCATTGTTTTTCTTCACCACTGAACTTTAACTTTTTAACCTTGTGTAACGGATTCTTTCATTCAACCAGCTGAGAGAAAATCGGCATTGTTCATTATAGGCCAGTGAGCTCCAACTGCTTGGCCACATAACATAAAGGAATTTTGAAAATTTCTATATCTTCTTCTATATTTTAAAATTCACATAAAAACTTTTCATTATATTTTTATTTTTGCAAAGGGTAACATTTCTGGCACATTGTTAATATTGCCAATAATTGTATCCAGTGGAATGTAAGTTTCACAATATTGGCACTACTGTCATCATCCATGAGGGACATTCTTACCAATTGGAAAATTCCAACTTTATGAAATCCTAAATTTGTTGTTACATGGTATCAAGTAGGTTCTGACTCACCGTGATCCTATATAGGGATTCTTTT